AACATGTTCACAAAGTCACCCCTCTATGGCACAGTGACTTTGCTTGAGACTTTGGCTGCAGGGCACATTTGCCCACAGGTGGGAGCGGCTAAAGGGGCAGGCGATTGGTATCCTGGAAGCAGCCTTTGTGTAAGTGACAGGTGGGAAGCAGGGCCGCAGCCTCCCAGCCTCTGTGCCTTCCTTTCTTTGCATCATCTTTTTGAGCTCCCTGGTGGGGTGAAGCTCCAGGCTCCCACAACAGTCACCTGCTCTTGAACACACTGAAACAGGCCTCCTTCCCTGTCACTTTCTTTGTGCTTCTTGGCATCCCCAGCATCTGAGCTGCCCGACCACAGGGCCTTCACTTGCCTGAGGATGGACATCCTGGAGCTACCCTAGGCTCCACAGCTCTTTTCTGATGGCCCTGGGAGACTTTGGTCGAGCAACACAGTGACTGCCTCTGTGTCTCAGCCTTCTCATCTGCAAAGACATGACCTTGAATTTGAAAGACTCCCAGCTGCAATAATGGGCGATCCTTTCTCTGAAGAAACAAAGTATTTTCCTGTTGCTGAAGCTGCAGAGTGCCTCCATTATGCAACACTCATGCCTACATTGCTGCTCTCACAGCTCCGTTTGTTCCCTCTCACTTATCTCTCTACATGACAAATGTTTTGCTGTATCAGGAACCGGAGCTACAGACAGTTGTTAGTTGCCATGTGGGTACTGGGAATTGAACCTGGGTCTTTTGCAAGAGCAGCCAGTGCTCTTAACCACTGTTGTGGGTTCTCCTCAGGCCAGCTGTGAAGACCCTAACCTGGATCAGGTCCCCAGTCGATTAGGGGTGGTAAGAGGCGCGGAGTCACAACACACAGACCCCGGGAGTCGGATAGAAGCAAGCACTAGGCAGGTGCTGCAGGCTCGTTCAATGTAGGAGGGGGCAGGCCTTATATCTCCCTTTTCTCCGCCCCCAAGTTCCTTTATTCAGCGTATCGTTTTCTGATTGGTCCGTGCCACGCATTCTGTCAGCAGTCACTGGGCTCTCGAGCAGGGTATGGAGGTGTGGGCTCCTTTTGGCGGGCTATTTGCGGACCAAGAAGTGAAATGAATTCTCGCCGAATCCCAGGGCTCTGGGTCCGCGCCATCTTTGGAGGCCTCCTGCTACAAACCACTGAGCCATCTCTCTAGCTCCATTTTAAAGAGACTCTTAAACTTAAAGGATAAATAAAATGTAAAGACCTTTACCCTCTTAATCAGAGAAAGACTTGACCATGTAAGTGCCTCATTACTCCCAAACTTACTACTAGCTCCTACAAACAAGTATGATTTTTGCCTTAACCCAATACAACCACTGAATTCACGGGATGACCCTAGCAGTACATTCCAGCTGAATCTCTAGATCTGGTCAGACAACAAGGAACAGTACAT